CACTTGTTCGGATTATCCGTTCCAACTCAGGACCGTCTGAACAGATTATAGCCACAGCTCTTCACACATAGGCGTTGAGGTGCTTGGCTTCCTTTGAATACAATTCTCATCGGGTCAGACTTCCTTACCTCAGGTTCTCCAATGGTCTCCAGTACCCTCACTCAGCATGAAGCTCCCAGAGCCCTGCACTACTCAGCTGTGTCAGACCTTTCAGTCACCGGCTCCCTGCTCTCCTTTCCTTGGTGCCAAGCAAAAGGCCCACAGCCCCTCCAGGAGCTTTGCTTTCTTTGGCGACCCCTCCCCCCACCTTCACTCCTGCTCATCTTCCAGGCTTCACCTCTCCCAGCCTTAGCTCCCAGGCTCCCAGAATTCCAGGATTTGATTGCACACCCCTTCACAGCCTGTGCCTCAGTTGCCCCCTTTGTCTCTAGTTAGTTAATAATCCGTGTGTTTATGTCCCTCAGTACATGAGAAGCTCTGTGATGTCGAACCCATCTCCGTCCGGGATGATGATGCCTCAGGGCTGGACTACATATATATTGCTAGGCTGACTGCTGTTTTAATCTCGTGGCGCACACTGAAGTATCGAGTCAAAAAGCAGACTAAATAATAAATATGCCAAGATTCATGCACTTCTCTTTTCAAATTATGTAGCTTCTGTGATTAATAAAATATAAAGTCTATGAAAAAACATGGCTGAATTCATGGTTCCCTTTTGCTATTTATTCTCATAAGCAATAAAAACCAGAAACCCATCCATTATATTACTGTTATATGGGGAACCCCAAAATACAAACACCTCCAAAAGATATTAAAGACATTCCTTCCAATCCGACACCATTTAATAGAACACTTTAGAGACAACCCCTAATTGTGCCTATAGTTAATACGGGACACTATTTCTCAACTTTCGTCAATAACATAAGTCCCTTGGTGCAACAGAATATAACCAGCTAATATGCAGTAAATTGGCAAGCCCTTCAACTACAAAGCTTCTTCAGACCATTCTGAGTATTCTTAGTGTCTCTGAATTAGTATTCCAATTCTAATACACACAGTGTATTATCAGGTGTGCCTGGTTTAACTTTGTTCATATGCATTTTTAAAAAAAGTCCTAATACCTCTTGTGTGAGCCACAAGGTTTTTGTTAATTTTTGTTTGTTTTAATAGGACGGGGTCAAGAGACTTGTGCATCCTATTTAACAACAGACAAAATAAATGGGCACACAGTCACCTTCAATCAAACATATCACTAGTTTCAGAGCCGACATTACTCTGTGAACTCATTGAGCATCTGTTCACTAAGTTCCCACTCACTAGAGGCGGAGGCTATGCATCCCAGGTTAAAATTCTTGCTGTCTAAGTTTATCCACCAACAGCTACCAAACGGTGACCTCCCTGGGATCATAAGGTACTGTGGGGAAAAGACAGGGTAGAAAGCCTCAGAGCTTTGGATCTCATTGTCCTAATGCTGTGACCTCTCAATACAGTTCCTTATGCTGTGATGACCCCAACCATAAAGTTACTTCATAACTGTAATTTTGCTATTGTTATGAATCATAATACAAATATCTATGTTTTCTGATGGGCTTAGGTGACTAGGTGAAAGGGCAAATTGCATTAAATGTCAGGGGAAGAGTATGTCCTCCAATGTACAATGTTAATCAGAAATTCAGTGTGCCATCCCTCAAAATAGAGAACCCCACATCTGCAGACTTGCAGCCAAGACATAAGGCAAATGCAGGAGTTTGTTTGTTTGCTTGTTTGTTTGTTTGTTTTAAAGAAAACTAAGTCACCAACCAGTGCTGACTCTCATATTTTTAATATTAAGTATAAAAACAGTTGTTTTTGTAGCTCAGTGCTAAATGCTTGCCCAGTGTATGTAAAACTGTAGATTTTATCCCCACACCATAGGATAATAAAAGCAAATTAAAATTTTAGAACTTTCTCAATGCCAACATTCAACTAGTTTTTAGGACACCAATGTCCACAGGTCTGACTAAAGCGTATAAGACTTTATATTTACATGTGAGACAGACTATGAAATAGACACTGTGACCTTCAAAACAGCTTTTATAAGACTATCAAAAAAAAAAGTACTGGAGTAATATACTAGGAACCAGAATTTCCTTGCTTCACAAATACAGTGAGTTGGTATTTTTAAAAATTCTTTGGGGGAAAAAAATTAATCTCCCAAGCTACACAGCAATTTTAAAATAGAAACGAATGTCTTGCCACACTGTGAGTTGTTCTTAAGCCTTTTAATGTTTTATAGTCTGGGCCCTTGCTACAGTATTAACTAAATCTATCACCAGGTACTTTGTCCCAACTTGGCCTAAGATGAAGAAAATGAATCCTCCAACTTATTTCAGTAAAGGGAGAATGAGCTGAGGGCAGGAGAAAGCCTTGGCAGTTAAGAGCAGCTACTGTTCTTACAGAGGATCAGAGTTCTGTACCTAGCACCTACATCAGGTGGCTTACAGCTCCTTGTAACTCCAGCTCCTGGGGCTCCAATGCCCTCTGTGGACTCCAACGGCACTGGCTCTCCTGTGTGCACGCACCGTTATAAATGCACAAGTATACGCATTATTTTAAAATAATAAATCTTTTAATAACAGGAGTAAGAGCCCATGTTCTCTCAAAGCAGACAGTGTGTGAATTATACATTAATGAAATAACAAGTCAGTCCAACTTTGAAGTTTGATTTTGCAATATTTTATAAGCAATAAACGTCAAGGTTAATGTTCACTGATATTTACTCGGCTCTCAATATCAGCTACTATGCTGAGATTGAATCAGATGATGTGTACAGGTGTGTACAAAATGTCGCTAGTGCTAGTACTCCCACTTAAGAGGTGAGAAAACTGAGGCTGACAGAAGTCAAGTGGCTTGTAAGCACACTTCCTCAACGTGACAGAACCAGAAGTCAACCCCAGGTATTTCCATGAAAGGGAGTGTCTTTAGTCTGTCCTTCCTGAACCTTCTAGCATGGTAAAGTGTGTGTTTTTCCTAAGGAAAGGGGCAAGAATTTTTGTTAATTCCTCAGTGCCAAAATTCCACAAAAGTCACAATCCCACAATTCCACACACTGTACCACATCAGTACCAGTGTGTGTCCGTGAGCTTTTACACCCCCTCATCAAGTTTTAGGTTTTAATACTTTCTACTGCTAGGGTCAGGGAGCCACCTGACCTTCTTAGGTTTTGCCTCAAAATTCCCAGGGCAAGTCAAGACTGTACCCCATCGTCCCCTGGTAGGCTAAGTCATGCCACAAATCGCAGCCCTGTCTGTTAACATCCAATTCTGAACTTTCAAAAACAATGACCCAAATCACTCAGCCATCCTACTTAGAAGCACAAAATATGTTTCAATCAACCAACCTTCACTGCCTTCCCTGGGAAATGAGATATCACTATATCCACTTCAGAGAAAGTAAGACACTATCACCCAGGGGTGAGGTGATCAATCAACTACACAATCAGGTCAAGAATGAGAACTTACCCACCCCCTTCCCCGACATCTTCAGGACCTTGTGCATGCCATGTTAACTATACAGAATCAATAGATTAGGACAGCCAGTTACCCAGAGCCAACATGCTACATCAAAAGCAGATGTACCCAGGAGACAGCACTATATTCTGCCAGCTCCTAGGGTGGGTGTGTTGTTCAGCAAACTCCTGGACTGTGACTAAACTCAATCTGGAACTTAGAGCTATTCAAAATTCCAAGTCAGAAACAGGAGTCCCGTCAGAATGAACTTAACCTTGAAATTCTCCATTTTCGACTACAGAAGTGAACTTCTAAGGAATGAAATGCATCAGGGTCTCGAAATTCAGGAGCCGAAGAGTTCTAGAAAGCAGATTTCCAGACACCCGCCTGAGATCCCTGAAATCCCACAGCCATCCAGAAAAGGGTCATGGCTACAGCCAGAGACTTGGCCAACCATCAGAAAAGGCTCCTTCCATCTCTGCTAAGCTGGAAGTTGCCTCTGCTAGCCTTGTGCCAGATCCAACCCCTAGTTCCAGGCTGGACACCCAGGAGGCTAAAGCCAGGACCCTGGGCTCTGTTTACTTCTTCTAAGGACAAAGGCAATTGTTTCCTAGAGCTAACCCCAGCAGAGATGGGAAAATACCAGTCTGTCACTGCGGAATTAATTTCACACGCAGACTATGCTAGGGTCATGTTTTATTTATGGTCCTGTCTGATCAAGATGATTTCTCCCACAAGAGATGTCCAAAGCAAACAATCTTAAAAGACTTGGAGAATCTTCCTTTCCTGTCTTCCAAAGTAAGAGAGAAAAGGGAAAAAAAGAAAGCCAGAGACAGCAATCTAGTGGGTCACAAAACTCGATGTGTCAGGAAGCGACCCAATTATTGGATGCACAGCCTTCGAAGAAATGAGGCTGGACAAAGTCCTCTGAACAAGATAAGACACATCCTATCCTATCCGGTATGGTGACAGCGCTCCTCTGGACACTGAGTCCAAATAGGAGGTCATGACAGTGCGACGGGGTTAGTTAGCACGGGGAATCTTCCTCTTCCCCAGGATGAAAGGTGAAGTGACTCGCCAAAACCACCCACGGGCGACTCCAGAGTACTCTGGTCTCTGACACCCCAAGATACAACTCCACAGCCACTACTCTGCCAGCGTCAAACGCTCCGGGTCTCGCGCTCCATTAGCGATTCCCACGTCTAAGAATCTGGATATGAGTTGTGGGAACAAACCAAGCTTTCAGATCACATCCTATCGCTGAGAACCCAAGCAGATACAGATATGAAGGGATCGGCTCAGTGGCATTTCCAACGCACACCGTCGGGTAGCTCATGTAGACAAGCGCGCGGGGACAACCACAAGAAGTCTCCGGACTGTCGCTATCCCAGGCTGTGGCAGAGCACCTTTAGTTCCCTCCCCTCTCCAAGACACCAGCGCGCACTCATAGGGATCTAAGGAACCCCTAGAGCGGGGACCTAGAGGGTGCGGGATGGGACAGACTAAGCCCACCTCTTCATCCTGCTCCTCTTGGGATGCGCTGCTGACCCGGGGCACCGGCAGTACCGCTCCTCCGGGGGGCGGCAGCGGCAGAGTAGGAACTCCACGCTCCAGAACCACGCGCGAGGGAGCCCACGCGGCGGGCAGCCGGGTTCCCAGGGCGCCGCCCGGCGGCCGCGGAGGCTGCGACCTGCAGGAGAAGCGGCCGGGCTCCCCTTCCTCCGACAGAGTTTCCGAGCCAGAGGATGACTCCGCTGAGGAAGCGCCCTCCGAGGACACGGCTGCTGCCGGCGAGACTAGAGTCCCGGCGCCGTGGCCGCTGCAGCCCCGGGGCACGGGCTCGGGCGCCTCGGAAACTTTCTCCCCCATGTCCCTCTTCGGCCCCAGAGTGCCACCCGAGGGGTGGCGGAGCGCTCGGCGCCTCCCGGAGAAGCCCGGGCTGCTCCGCTATGTCTGGATCGCGCTGCGGCTCCCGGGCTGCGGGGAGCGCCGCCGGCGACTACATGACAGAGGCTAGGCCGAAGGAGCGCGTCGCCAAGTTCAGGGCCGCCGTGGCTCGGCTGCTGATATGGACTCCCGCGCGCGGGGCCATGCTCGCCGCGATCGGCGCTCCGCGCTGCGCCCGAGCCGCCGGGACTGCGGCTTCTCCCGCTAAACCTGCCTCCGGGACGGAACGGAGGAGACGGGCAGCCCGCGGAGCCAATGGCAGCGCAGGCGCGCCGGTGGGCGGAGGCTGTGAAGCCGCTGGCCGCGCGGGCGTCAGGTAGGGGAGGTGGGGCCAGGCGCGGGCCACCCGATCCCGCGGGAGCTCTGGGTGCGCGGGGCAGCTCCACGGCGCGGGACTCGGCAGGGCGGGCGCGGAGCCCGCGGACTTAACCCGGGATGGGACTCCGAACTGGGTGGGGGAGTGGCCGTCTGTCCTTGGGACGCGGGAGGGAGATGGCTGAGTGAGGCGAGACCTTGGAGAACCGGACTTTAGTCTCCAAAAAGTGAAATCGGGAAAACTGGGCAGGAGGTTTCCTTTGAAAACGGAAGCGCACGGCTAGTCACGCGCAAACTCACGCACCCACCCGTGTCCAGAGAGCGAAGTCCGTAGTGGAGAGAGGGTATCCAAAGGCAGCCCAACTCCAACTCCCTTTCTGGTTAAACTTCTTGGGCCTCAGTTTCCTCAATTGTAAAGGGAGACATCAACGCTAATGTCTGGCAATAAGATTAGAGCAAAATAAAGTGTCAACAGAGTCCTCGGCTTGGACACAAGCCAAGGTCTCCAAAGATGATTTTCTGTGTTTCTGCTTAGAAACTAAAGTTAAGTCAAAGACACACGCTTGTGACAAAGGAAGGAAACAGCTGATGCTCTCTGTGTGTTTAGGACCAAGCTTGATAAGAATGTTCTTAGCAGCTCTGTGGTTCTGCCGCTGGGCTAAGGTGCATTCCTAACTGGCTTTCTCTAGCCCTGGGTAGCCACAACGCGGCGGACCTGGGGCTTCATTTTCCTTTCCTATAAGAACAAGGAGAAAGATCATCCACAAAAGCACCTACACAACCACCTTAACCTTTGTGGTGTCTTGGATCTGCTAGGAAGCCAGTGTGGAGTTAGGCAGCGAGAAATAAATGATTCCTACTTGCCTTCAGCTCCAGAGCCGTCTGAGCTCCACACCGTGACCCGAGGTATAAATTCAGCCAGCTTCCATTCCACAGACGTTGATTGAGATGCGTGCCAGTTGGTTGCAGGGGATACAAAGATGAATACGGCAGGTCCCCTGCCCTTGAGGAGCTTGTGGTCGGGGGAGAGATTGATATTGCATAATACCGCCTCATTATTCATGTTTAAAAGCTCTGGTAAGTGTTACAATGTGCCGTGGGAGAAGAGGGGAAGAATTACAGCGAAGCCATTGCAGATCTTCAAGCCGAGGAGTCCTCCAGAATTTTACATTTCTCTCTGTCAGAACAGGTTTGCCAAGGGTCCTTGAGAAAAGGACTGGAGTTGAAAGCCCGGTTGGCTAATGAGCCCTTTTATGCTACCGAAGTATTTACAAGTGATAATGGGGGCGGGGGGCTCATCTAGTCTAGACAGGCGGCTTTGTCCTGAACACTTTCGGACTGCCTCTGAAGAGGAAAGCAGTAGGATGTGACCCTCTGGCTGTGGACAGCTGTCAGAGTTGCATTGTGACACTTCAGAATGTTCCAAAGGGACGGGAAGACCTGCTGAGGTAAAAGGACATTCAGGAGACTTAGCTAAGTGGTGATGGAGAGGCTGAAGAGGGCACAGTGGGGCGGTCTGAATCCACCCCCTGGGCCCCACAATGACTTCCCTCCTTAGAGTACTGGCCTTTATCTGAGCCCCTATGTGGTTGATTCGGCACAGGGGACTGAAATAAAGATTTAAGCAAGCCATTCACATCAAAGAAGAGGAGGGATTGCCTCCTCAGTTCGGGAAGGGTGCCGCAAGGACATGATTTGAATCCTAAAAGCAAAAAATGGCAGTTCCTGGAGCCAGAGCTCTCCTGTGAAAAGCCTCACAGAAATCAAATATAATACTTTAGGAATGAAGACACGGGCTAAAGAGCTGGTCAAAGGTCACACAGCAAGTGAGCAGTGGCTCTGTGGTTGGTACTCTGAAGTCTGCCTCTCAGAACAGTTTTTTAATCAAGGATACACATATGTGACTACTAGACTATAAATAGCCACGAAAAGGGAATATTGTTGCCTTCGTTTATAATGCAAAAAAAAATTTCCCTTGGTCATATTTTTTTTTACCCACAAACATTTATATGACACAAAGCTGTTATATACTTAATCCTTGTGTTGATCCAATAAGGTAGTGACGATTTTTTGATTTTGTATTACATCTATGAAATACTAAAACCAAATGTCACACAGCTAGCACGTGGTAGAGTAGAGCCAAGATTCAAAACTGAACAGTATTCATGTTCTTACCCTGCCCTATTCAAAGTCAGGTACTAAACAGTATTTATTAAAATTTCAAACTCTGATCCTAAATAAACACATTTTTACATCACAAATCATGGTACACGTATATGCACACAGATGCAAAAAAAAATCAGCCTTCATTTGTAAACAATGCAGCCTGAAATTTTCATTAAATTTTTCTGAAACTAGCCAAGATAGTTGTGAGTTAGCAAGTGGGATTTACACTGTACTGTAAGGCACGCTTGATCATTACACGTGACCATTTCTGTCTGAGAAGAGTGATGACTACAGCTAAGAGTTTCCAGATAAGAACTGGACAAACTCAACACAACATGACTATCAAAAGGGGGTCAAGAAGGTCAAGATGGTTCCCTGAAATTACAACTAGACACATAGGCAACTCCTTGGATAGGGATAAACTGCTAGACCCAAATCAGTTTACATATCTAAATCCTACAATTTTCCTATCTTATTAAAATACGAAGTCATTCCTCCATGAGTATCTCCAAGAGAATGTTTCAAAAATGACCCCAGAGTTTGATACTTTGAGGCCTGAGATGAGAGAGAAAGCACACACACACACACACACACACACACACACACACACACTGCAGATATAAGTCAGGAGAAAATTAAAGATACAGTCATGACACCTGGTAGGTAGTAAGGGCTCCTCATATGAGGAGCCACAGCACCCACAGAAGATGGTCAGAGCACTCTGCTCTGTTGCTCACAAGGGTTTGGCACCCTTCAAACCAGATATATGTCCTTCGTCTGTGCACTTGCATCAGATTTCTGTGTCGTGCTCCGAAGTGATGGAACCTTGGCCTCTAGAGCTATATGGTCTCTGCCTGGCTCTGCTGTGCGGGTAGGGCCAGGTGAGAATGTCAACTCTGACGGGCAGATGAATGATGTTCTAGTACAAGGCATCACCTGCTTCATCGATTCCCAGTGCTGTGGCCTTTCTTCCAAGCGTTAGGTTTAGGGCTCAATAAAATAGAAATCAGGTCTTCTCTTTCTCCTGTAAAATGAGATCATCATAAACTCAGAATGAACCTTTTTTTTTTTTTTCAAAATCACAGTTAATCTGTTCCTAACTATTTAATGCACTAAAACTGTTGAGTATCAGCTTGTCTTATGAAAGGTGATGGATTGTCTACCTTTGCTGGGTTAGTTTTATACGTTCTGCTAATGCTGGACTTTGCTTTTTCCATCAGGGTAGAGAACATGCAGTACTGAGAGAATAAGCATTGACCAGAAGGCAGATACACACACACACACACACACACACACACACACACACACACTACATTATACACATAGCACAGATAGGGATAGGAGAATCCTCTTCTCTTTTATGTCTAGGGTCTAAGGAAGGAAGGATTTCAGTACAAAGTTCCAGAAGGCAAGTAGAAAAAAGTTTAAATCTTGGTAGGAAAGGCCTGGGAGAAAGGGTAGCATGTATTGCAGCCATCAGTCTCTCACCTACAAGGTAAGAAGGGTGGAAAACCCAGTTCTGTTAGCTAATGAAAGCACACCTTTGATGAACCAATTGTCTGTAATCCAACCTATTGCATGTGTGTCAAAGGATCACCAGGGGAGCAGAAATGCTGTTCCCACCCAATGACGTGGGATTCTGCACTGTTATAGGACTGCCCCTAAGTGAGTAAACCTTGTATATTTGAAAGCTGAGGAACCCTCATTTGGAAAATCAAAGAGCTGTTGTAAGGAGCAAATTGCATGGCTCCATGGGACTCAGATAAACGTGACTAACTGCAATTGGGTCTCTCTGGATCTTGTTCTTCTCTCCTGGAGATCAGCCACCTCGAGGCAGCTTAGCAGTTGGACAGGAATATGCATGAGCTAAAAGCAGCTGGGAACACTGACCTAATGTACATGCAGAAACAAGCCAAAGACAGTGTCCCCAGAGGGATGCTGTTCAAACAAGATCCAACATGGTGACCTACTTCCCACAGAAGATCCCCACCTTTTGTACTGGTCTTTCCAAGATGAGTCGTCACATCTGGGATTTTTGGTTATACTTTCAGCATGAGAACTTTCTTTTATTATCACTCTTCAAAAAGATTTGTCTAGTACTCTCTACTTGTTGAGGTATTAGTAGAAAAGGAAAAAAATGTAGTCACTCCTTTTTATTCAATGTAGTAGTTTGCTTTCAGAGTCAAATACTTTCTGTCTTAGTTAGGGTTTCCATTGCTGTGAAGAGACACCATGACCAAGGCAACTCTTAAAAAGGACAACATTTAATTGGGGCTGGCTTACAGTTTCAGAAGTTCAGTCCATTATCATCATGGTGGGACACAAGGCAGCGTGCAGGCAGACATGGTGCTGGAGAAGCTGAGAATTCTACATCTTGATCCAAAGGCAGCCAGAAGAAGGTTCTCATTCCACACTGGGAGAAGCCTGAGCATAGGAAACCT